TATTTTCAGGATAGGATCATATCATCTGGGCAATGATCAACTGCACAAAAATCGCCTCCTTCTCCTCTTTCGAGATCTATGCTTGTTGCCTTGATTGGAGGTGTTTTAGGGTTTCTCTCTCTCTTCTTCCATAGCGTCTTCCGATATCTCTTCTGCAACTAGTGTGTCTAGCCCATCAGTCTTTACTAACTTTGTTAATGTGCACTTGCCCATTGATAAGTTAGATATCACTAATTATGCGACTTAGGCATATTGTTCCACCCACTATTCGACCATCCATTAATGTTTACTCCTATACTCAAGATGTATATACCTCTGTGTAAGGAAGGTTTGTTGGAATTCCCACATTTATTGGATCATGCCAATTTATAATATATAAGTGTGTAAAAATTCACCTTACAAGCTAGTTTTGTAGGGTTGTGTTAGGCTTAATGTCCACTTTTTAACAATTATCAATCAAGGATCCTGTTAAGGGTTGGAAGGTATATGAGAGAAAAAGGTATAGGAGGGAAGAAGAAGACCGAACGGTGGAAGGAGGAAGATCAAGCCGAATGGGGGAAAGAGGGGAAAGGATAGACCGAACGGGGAAGGAGGAAGACCAGAGCCGATCGGTTGAAGAGCAGGACCCAAATAAAATATCTGGGGCATTTGATCTCAGAAAGGGGGGTGGAGATGGACCAAGACAAAGTGAAGGCAGTGATGGATTGGGAAAGACCCAAGACACTAAAAGCCTTAAGGGGGTTTCTGGGCCTGACAAGGTACTACAGGCGTTTCGTGAAGGATTATGGGAAGATCGCCAAACCATTAACCGAACGGCTTAAGAAGGGGCAATTCACATGGACCGAGCAAGCTGATGTGGCCATGTCTAGATTAAAGGAGGCCGTGACTACTGCACCAGTGTTGATTCTACCTAACTTTAACCAACCTTTCCATATTGAGTGTGATGCTTCGGGAGGAGTAGGAGTTGTTCTAACTCAAGGAAAGAGACCCATTGCTTTCTTCAGCAAAGTACTGTCAGAGGGATCATTGTGTATAAGACACGGGCTACCAACAGTTGCAGATGCTCTGTCTCGAAAAAGGGACGAAGGTATGGAGGACGAGAAGGAATTGAGGGTGGTGGCCAGGCCTTATTGGCAAGACTTTGAGGAGATTCTAAAGGAGGTTGAGGTAGATGAAGCATTGAAGAAGGTAATGGAAGATCTCGAGAAGGACCCCAACTCACACCCGACTTTTACCATGGAGCAGGGCAAACTGCACTACAAGGGGAGACTGGTGATCTTGGCTCAATCCGCCTGGGTCCTTAAGCTAATAGCTGAATTTCACATGACTCAGACAGGGGGTATTCAGGGGTATACCGGACGTACCGCAAGATAGCTCAATCACTTTACTGGATAGGGATGAAGAAAGCAGTAATTGATTTTGTTGCAAGATGCCTGGTGTGCCAACAGCATAAGTACCTGTCATCTTCTCCACTGGGGTTGCTACAACCCTTGCCCATACTGAACGCTATTTGGGAGGAAGTAAGCATGGATTTTATAGTAAAGTTGCCCAAATCCCAAGGGTATGATGCTGTTTTGGTAGTGGTGGATTGTCTGAGTAAATTCCAAACATCCAACCAATAGGCACCCACCACATTTGGAAGATCATTAGGACCCAAAGAAATAATTTTTATTTTAGACATGACTTGGAAAGCAATCAGTATCTCTGATGACCCTATCTGAGACGAGACGACGTGTGGGCTACACTGGGAAAACGGAGTAGAACTTGAAACTCAGATATGCTCAAATCTGAGCCAAATGGGACGTCACCGACCAATGGAATAGACTCAAAAGGCTCCAACGACCCTTTTTGTGATGGCGGCGGCTAGTGGGTCTTGTCATAGCTAGGTGCACCTTTCTACCCTAACAATGACCCCAATCGTCTACTATGACAGCCGCAGTGGTCGGGCAACAACGACAGTTGCAATGGCCGGGCAACGACGGCAGCCGTAGTGGCCAGACAACGGTGACAGTGCTACTATTGCAGCAGAAACGGAGTTCCCAAGGTTGGGAGCTTTGATACCATCTTGAAAAGAGAATAACTTTTATTATTTATGTTCATGTCTATTGCATTCTCCTCCTTCCTCTACAACAATCTAATCTTCTAAAACAGGGAAATAAGGAAACAATATACTGAAAAATACTCTAGAAGTCCTACAAATATTTTCTCTAATTAGGAAGATTCTATAGATATCTTCTCTAATTAACAAATTCTATAGATATTTCCTCTAATTACAACATATAGATAAGGTAATATATTTATAATGAAGAGTTATACAAGTATATATGACAACTAAACATAAATATGGTAAATAGAAGATATTGTTAAAAACAATATCAACAATATCTACCAATATCAAAAGTCTGTTTCCCTAAACAATATCTAGCAATACCAATCTCAATGAATTCAAAATTCAAATATTGACTATCAAAAGCTTTAGGCTCTAGATACCATGTTGAATATAGTGAAAAATATATATGGGATTAATCTCCCTACATGTCTAAAACACACTTATTGTGAAAAATATGTATGGTAATATATTTATAATGAAGAATTATATAAGTATATATAAAAACCAAACATAAATATGGTAAATAGAAGATATTGTTAAAAGCAATATCTACCAATATCAAACAATATCAAAAGTCTACATTTCCTTAATTAACATAAAACGTAATATATCTAACATCTATGTTTCTCTAATTAACATAATACGTAATATATCTATCATTTCCCATAGTACTGTTAGTGTTTTGAAGCCTGCTCCACAACCTAGCTGCAGAGGGACATCCTAAAATAAGTGTGATTAGCAGTTTCCGAGGCATCATAGCAATGAGGAGAAAATGATATCACACTAACTCCAAGTTTCCTAGATGGATCATTCTTACGTAACATCATGAAAAAGTCTCCGAAGAGTAAAGGTTTGGAAGGAGTAATGTCTTTGTTCCAGATTCTGTTTCCCTATGGCACAATTGGTTTAGTCTAGTGAATATTTTGATAACATCCTTGATAGATAAATCACCATTTTTAGTAAACCTCCATCTAACATTATCGTGCTTATCAAGCATCCATAGGAATAATAGCATGCCTGATTTGATGTTGAATGTCGTGGCATGAAGGAAGGTATTTGCCATGATTTGTTTATAAGATCAAATTTTAGTCCTTTGCTTTAAGCCGACTGTGTATGTTCCTATGGATAATCGACCTCTTGGCAACAGAGTCAGGGAGCCCTGTGTCAGTTCACAGAAATTAGTTAATCTGCCGTTTGTCAGATAGTGCTTTCCTTGACCGGGTGGATAAAAGGTAGGTTCCTGTAATTAAATAAAGTAATTATTTAGGAATTTGTCTTTCTGTATTTCTTACATTCATTATAGAAGTATTGAGTTCGTTGTGTATTTAAAACAGAGGTTTTCCAGCATATGCAGTTCTTACCTTTCTCAACATTATACTCCATACTACATTCATCTTTTGGAGAAATTCATGACAGTGACCTTCTGCTACTCAAAATATAAAATAGTAAACTGTCGGTTAAATTAACTGCCGCACACTTTTGTTGATTCATGATCATGTGTGACAACGTTGCAGGTTGTTACATATGTTGTGACAAGGCCAGGAAGAGAACTTTTATTTACCGTTGTTTCGGAGGATGAGAAGTATAAAGCCAAAGTACGGCCATCTTCTGTTTCCTTTCTTCCTTATTTTCTGCTATTTCAATTTAGAGAGCCAATGGTTTCACTGCTGTAACATTATTATACATACTATATATATTTCATGGACATTTCTAGATGGTGCATGAAATGAACTCACATATCAATGGCCAAATTTGTGCCGCAGGTATGCATAGATGTCCTGGTTCAAAGACTTGGAGATGCTGCAGCAGCTGGAATGTACAAAATGCTTTTTGGTACTCTCAACGGGAACCCATCGACAGTTTCCCTTTATGGCCTGCCTGTATGTTTAAACCTGTCATACTTATTATATATTCCTCTCCAGTTTTCAAGAATCCTAAAAATAAAAATAGAAAAAAACATACCCGATTATTTCAAATAGTTTATCAATACTCGTACTTATTTTTCCTTTCTTTTGTTTTTTATATGGGCAAGACTAACGTATTTTTCCATTCTGTAGGTTTGTTTGTTGTGGATAGTCTCAGCATACTCTTTGGGTCGTCGGCAAGTTCAACTTTCCAAGCACCAGATCTCATCTACTTAATCGAATTTGTGATTAAATGTACAATATGTTAGTTATTAATATTATATGGGATACCACCAATAGTAGAGACAGTCGAGCCTAAGATAATGAAAGCTAACAAGGCTGTGCTTTCCAAAGTTTTCAATCAATTCCTTTGGTGTTGGTAATTTGGGTGTCTATGCTCGTATTTAAAGGAGTCGGAATATTAAAAGCATTACACTTAAGAAAATTACACATCCCTTTAATCTGAATAAAAAAATTATAGAAAAATCAATTTATTGAAGCGAAAGAACAGCCACACTTAATATGAATAAGTGCCAAAAGTGGACCAATGTCCGAACAAAGAAAATGAAATATAATTCAGATTGATGAGGACCGATACAAATAAAGGACCTGCTGACCATGTGCTGTGAATGACATTTGCTTTTTGCATATGTTTTAGGTTTAATCATTTCGGACATCCTGTAGGATTTTCTCAAATAGGTCCTTGTATTGTAAATGCTCGATTAGGTCTCTTTTTGTGAAAAATTGAATCAATTTAGACTTCGCCGTTAGTTTCTTACTAAAACCGTTAAAAGAGGTGATACGTGTCAGTTCGTGATTTTTTTGAATTTTTTAATTATTTTTAATTTTTTAAAAAATAAAATTAAAAAAAATGTCACGTGTCAAAATGATATTGTGTCATGTAACAATGACAGTGTGACATGACACTGACAGGTCACGTGTCATTATAATACGAGGATCTATTTAAGAAAATTCTACAGAAATAGAAATATCCGAGATGATTAAACCTATGTTTTATACGTGCTCCTCTCCTGGCTATGACAAATGTCGAATATAGCTTTTTATATAATTTCGTTGGTGGACAATCTGGATTCCAGTAAGTTTTTGAATTATGCAATTAATCCAGAGACAGTCCAGCCAATTAAGAGTATAAAAAATGGACTTGATGGTTTCGTTAGAGCAATCTGGACAACTTCTATCAGTTATGTGTGAAGAAGTCTTTCAATTTCGGTAATATGAAAGTAGGTATAATCATTATGTTTAACAATATGGGATATTTCTTAATAAAAGTTTTGTAACAACAATTATTTTGGGAAAGGAGCGTGGTTTTCCTGAAGTGTTGGTATTCTTAGAGGTCAATGTTATACTTTTTGGGATTGGTTATTTGAAGGATTTATTTATGACAACGAATCGATGTCTACTTGTTACTCAATTTATGATAAAAAAAAATTCATCTATTATCTATTATTTTTTAGATATTTGTTTAAAAAAATACTTGCAAGTATTTTTAAATCTATGGGTATATGTGGATACCATGTATATTTAAGAAAAATATTTTATAGATTTTAAAATAAAATATAAATAAAATTATAAAAAGATATATAATATAAATTAAAGTATAAATTAAAATTTTATTTTAATTAAATTTAATCAAATAAAATATAAATTAATTTTAATTTTAATTTAATAAATTATAAATTAATTTTTTATTTTATTTTTTTGTTGGTAATAAATATTGTGAATATAAATAGTAGGGTTAAATATGTTTTTAGTCCCTATACTATCAAACGGTTTTGGTTTTAGTCCCTCTTTTAAAGTAAGGTACATTTTAGTCCTCTTTCTTAAGGAAACTTGATTTTAGTCCTCCAAAATTAATACCGTTGAAAACCAGCTGATGTGGCTAACGATAGATTGACACGATTTTTTTTTCTTGCGCTAAGTTAGTGTTTCTCACCTTTTCTCCCTCTCTCTCCCTCGCCTCTTCCTTCCATCTTCCACCCAACCTCCCCACCGCTATCACCTCCCACCGAGCTCCAAATTAACCTCTAATTATCAAAACTCCAAGTTCACTTACCTATAAGGACAAAATACCAACACTAACCCGAATCCGCTTTTTCATTTAACTAAGATAACATCAAAATCACACTCACTCATTTCCTAACCTCCAACAATGAAACCCCAAGCCCAAAGCGGAGTCCCAATCGAATCACCTCTAGGATAGCAGCGTTCAATAGCAGATTCCCAAATCTCTAACATTCGAGAATCGCGGCGGGGAAAAATCAAGCTAAGGAAGGATCCGACGCCACGGTGGGCGCTGCATTCGGCGGTGAATGGCGGCCAGTTTGGCAGAGGCAACAGTGGTTAGCTTCGTGGGTGGCGGCAGTCTTGAACTAGAAGGAGAGGGAAATGGTATCCCTGATTGTGCGCAAAGAAGAGAAAAAAGAGGAATTCGACGTAGTGGCGCTAACTACGTAACCGAAGGCGACCCTAGCGATGATCGGTGACGAGTGCGACACTCACCTCGCGACTAGCGGTGGCTGATTCGGCGGAGGCTGTTGTGCGGCGTGCAGCAGAGGTAATTTTTCCCTACTCTGGAGAAGAGACTCTAGTATCGTTGTGCAAATGGAATGAGGATGGCAGACCCCTAATGTGTTTTGATCCGCACACCTCATTTCTCATTCTCGCACCCCTCAAGGACGCCGAGAAGCGCTTGGTCAAGATTTACGAGATCGATGGCGCCGACTACGACAACAACAACGAATCGTGGGAGGTTGGGTGGAAGATGAAAGGAAGAGACGAGGGAGAGAGAGAGGGCGAAAAGGTGAGAAACACTGACTCAGCGCAAGAAAAAAAAATTGTGTCAGTCTACCGTTAGCCACATCAGGTGGTTTTTAACAGTTTTAATTTTAGAGGACTAAAATTAAAGTTTCCTTAAGGAGGAGGACTAAAATGTACCTTACTTTGAAAGAGGGACTAAAATGTACCTTACTTTGAAAGAGGGACTAAAACCAAAACCGCTTGATAGTATAGGGACTGAAAACATATTTAACCCTAAATAGTATGATATGTGCATCTAATCTATTTATAAATAGGTATTAAAATACATGCTAGCTGTGTATAATAAATATTCATGAATATCAATTATCAGTTATAGATTTTATTCGCGGATTCTGGAGTACGAATATCAATATTCATTCTTAGAGTGTCATGTGGTCATTATTAAAGCTAAATCTTCTTCAATGGAAGTATGACACATGACACATATTTTCCACATGGTTTGAATGTCTAGCTTAAGGAAAAACTGTATACTAATTAGGCCTTAATACAAACCTTAAACAAACCTACTTATTTTGTCAAAATACATTGCCTAAAGAAACCTACACTACTTGGCCGAAATACATGGCCTAAAAAAACTACATTATTATTCAACCTCCATGATAGCCTAAGAGAAAGAACTTGTTTCACTGACTCTAGCTTCTTCTTGAAAGTACTTGGGTCATGGCTTGGGGTATTCCATCAGGAATTGTTGGAGAAAGTTCAATATCCATGTTTTGATTAAGTTCTATATAAACAACACAACATAAAACATGATCAAATTTTATCTTTAGGATAAAAGCTTCTTTTTTTTTCCTTTCACAATACGTCATGAATATGCAAGTGTTTCATCTTTTTGGGGATGCAACATTGTATTATCTCTTTTAATGTCAGATAAGCATTGTTGTGCTTAGACGATACACACATATCTTAAGCTTTTAATCTTATGTAGCACTTGATGAATATATTTAGTCATATTATATGTCGTAGAGAATGTTTATTTCCTAAATATGACAAAGAGGATCCATTAAAGCATTGGTAACATAAAAAATCTGTTAGAAAATTATCAAAAGTTTTTTTCTTCATCAACACCTTGGACAATGTTTTGTCAATTCTATAAAAAATTATTTCATGATTTTATGCTTTATACATTTTTAGGTAAAGTCACTTTGTCCAAGGAGAGTTACATATCTCTAGCTATATCAAGATGTTGTTTAAAGAGCACAAGTCCAAAATGCTCAAACAAGGAAGATGTTCAAGTGAGTTTAAAATTGCTCAAGGACTATAAAATGATTTGCAATAACTTCTTTCTTCAATGCTTATATAAAGTTATTCTTTGAAGAGATAAGAAAAAATATAAGTCATAGTTTGTAAAGTGTTAAAACTTTGCCAAAGTATTTTTTATCCCTTAATAGTTTTGTAAGAACATTGATGTGTTCTTCTAACACATTGAAGATAGCTCTTAATCTTGTAAATGGTGAAAGATGTCAACCCTCTCTACTAAGTAACACTTGTGATCTTTTGATCACACTTTAAACAATCTTTGTCTTGGCTAAGAGTGATTGTATGTTGAACAATACTCGACTTTTAGTCACAAGTGGTTAAGTGTTAAAAGATACTATGATGGAAGCCAAATCCAGCTGGAATCAAGCCAGAAGCAGCTCCAAGGATGAACCAAACAGTGTAGTGGAAATAATGAAGAAGAATGAGGTGTTTGAAGTGTTTAAGGTGACGAGAAGTGTGTGAATGAGACCTCACAGCTCATAGGGTCTTCCTACTAAGGAAGGAAGTTAGAGGAAAGGTAGGGAAGTCGAAATTGAAGAGTGACTCAAGAGCAATAGGGTTGGAAAGCAAGTTCAGCAACATTTCACTAAGCTCAAAAGTGAGAAACAAGTGAATCATCCTTCTGACCCAATTTCCTTCCCAAATTAAAATTAAAATGAGTAAAAGGTGTCAACTACAAAGGTCATGCAACCCCTACTTCAAACCAGGTTCGGAACCACACATGTGAACAACACTTCTCGTAATGATTGGGCTTGTCAGGTTTTTGGATGGACCATTTCTTCATTCCGGAAGGCAAATTCCTTCACATTTCTAATCCGGAAGCCAAACTTCCCAATTCGGAAGTCACCTCTTTTCGTTCTCGTTTTAGCTCCTTTGCTTCCCCTAGCTTCACATGCTTCTTTGGTGGCTTAACCATGGTCTCCAAGCTTTATTAGAACCTACAAAACAACCATATAAGTATTAAAAGAGAATTCTTCTAAGACATAAAGAAAGAAAATCAAGAAAGAGCCTTTAAAAGTCCTTCTTCAACTTCCCTTTCTTATCCTTAGAATGAATTTATACTCCTTTGGATGGCTTCCCTAGCTAAGTTTCCATCATACCCTTCCTCTTGAAAAATGATTTGTCCTCAAATAGGAAACGTATAAAGAAGAACAACTTTGGTTTAGTATTTCCCTCCTGGATCAAAAGTATATCTATAACAAACAACAAAGATGAATATTAAAAGGATGTATCCAAAGAAAAGAATACAAAATGAAGCCTTTTATCTTTGAAAAAGATTTTCTTA